CGCTGTCTACAACCTCCCTAATCTCAATAACTTCAATTCAAAATTGCACATACCACCAGCGCAATAGCCACTGGCCACGAACTATCTCCGCATCCTATATTATCCAAACCAAACACCAACTCAAATCTAAAAAACCTATTCTTCATTATTTTTACCAACGCACTGAGCACACCGTCGCGAGTCAAATCGCAAAATTAAATTATAAAACAATTTGAGAGTTTTTCCAAGGCCCCGCATTCTCGCATGCGGAGCAGGGCTCTCCTTCAAGCAGCACCACAACAAGAATACCCCGGCGGAAGAGCGCCAACTAAGGCGTATGCCGCCCAGAAGTCGAAACATCCCACGAAGAAAGAATCCGGTTACGCTCTGAAGGCCACAATTCGCTGGCCGAAACGTTAGCCACAGTGACGTGGCTCGTCCTGGATAGCCTAGACAACACGAATTCCGGCCGCGGAAGCCTACGCAACCAATATTTAACGAACTTTCGAAAAACATTCAAGTTTTAGAAGTTGTTAGACTGTTGGGAAGAACGTAAACCGTTAACTACCGTTGCTGTGGATTTAACTGATAATGAAAACGACAAAGAAGTTTTAAGAATAAATAAATTTATATATAGCATTGTTAAGAGTTCAAATTCGCTATAAGCCTAAAACCCCCAGACATGTGCAAAAATTGCCAGATTTTCTGTCATTTACAGTCAAATTGCCGAAGGCGACCTAGGTGTGAGAGATTCTTACAATGCCATCATTACTCTCAATGTGATAAACCTAAACAATGTACCGACGTGTCTTATTTGGAGAGGGGAACACACGACAAACTATAAAGGGTGCAACGCTTATAAAGCAGCAGTTAAAAAATATAACTGGAATCAGACTAATCATAAATTTCCATCATACAAACCGCCAAATAGGCAGTACTCCAATCACTAACTGAATAAAAACGCTCAACCTTATCACTATGCCCTCAAGAGTTTCCTCCTCTACCATTTAACCGAATTGCATTCTTCAGCTTATCGCACTAGTCAACCGCCTAGGCCCAGGAATTCTCCTCCAATTCACCAAAATATCAATGTAATAAACTAAAACCTAATTCAAACAATTATAAACAATATTTTTGAAATCATTCCTAATGCTTATTTGCTTTACTTGTTCTAATGCTTATTTATATGCATATTAATGACCCAAAATAAAATATTAAACTTTGAACTTCTCAACTGGAATGCAAATGGCGTAAAGCGCCAAGAGAACGAATTACGATATTTTCTACAATCCCATACAGGAGAAAAATGTTCGGTCAAAGTAGTCTACCGCAATGATCGAATTTCTCAAATACCATCAGGTGGGGTAGCAATTCTCTTCAATAGGAAAATTAAATATACATTGATACTATCTCTATCCTGAAATGAAATAGAAACAATTATAATCAAAATTGAATTGGTCTCTTCTAACATAACTGTAATTGCAGCATATAAAACTTCCCAACAAAAAGTTTCCTTAGTCCAAGCCCTTTCCAAGTCTCATTTAAGCATTGTTTGATGGAGATCGCAAATAAAACTAGCAGGAGATCTGAATTGTAAAAACCAACTGAACTGTAATACTTCATATAATGGAAAACGTATTCAGAAATTCACATTGCAAAGAAATCTGAATGTATTAGCTCCTTCAGAACCCACATATTACCCCTATGACCCAAATGTAGTTCCTGACAATCTAAATATAGTTATTATACAAAATTTAAACCTACCGATTTACCAAAATGTGAGAACAGAATAAGATTGGGGCCACAATCCAGTAATAATTTCATTCAAAGCTGAATCTCAGTCACATCAAACTGAAAAAATAATTGAGGGAAAAGTAAATTGGGACTTGTACAGAAACATTTTAACTAATGAATGTCAATATCAGAAGAGTCTTAAAACATCTGAAATAGACAATTGTATCAGCTCCCTTGAAATTGTAATTAAAAATGCTATCAAAACATGTATTTAATACAGGAATTTCACCAATAATTATACTATGTTTCGAAAGCCGCTACTAAATTTAATTAAAGAAAACAAAAATCATAGAAAGTGGCAATACTCATTGACAATTGAACTTGGAAACAAAAATTAAATAGCATATGTGTAAAAATTAAACAAGAGTTACATGAAGTTAGATGTATATTTTCAAAACGTTTTAGGCAGCATTCCCCCAAACTCTAGGACAATGTGGAATACAGTTAAAATAGCAAAGGAAAAATTTGTCATTCCTCAATTATCATCTAACACAAGGCTAGCAACAATGATTTTGAAATGGCAGGAACTTAAGTGGCAAATTTAAAAAAAATATTTGTAACTAATACTGTAACCGACTTTAATTTCCAATAAGAAGTGGAAGCAAACTTATCAATAACGCGACATTTTGTCCCAAGAAAAACTAAATGTATAGCTCTGCCTGAGAAGTATTAAATCATTACGACATTAAAATCGAGAAAATCAGAAGGCCATGGCTTAATAAATAATAAAATGAAGGAATTTCCTAACAATGGAATTGCAGCATTGACAGCTCTCTTTAACGTATGTTTAAGATTAGGATATTATCCAAATACTTGGAAAACTTGTTTATAGGCATTTGTCCGCAGTCAGTATCGAGTGAGGTGTTGTGAGCACCCTGCTTACTCAGTTGCAACTTTTTAAGTTATTCACATCTGTCATCATGTTGTATGAAGCTGAAAGTAGACATATTAGTAATATGTTGAACGAAGCATTGGATGATGAAAATTAACTCTCAGACTGAAGATTCTGATGAAGACGAATAAGAGTACTGAGGCTAGTAAGCATGGAACAAAGTAAACTCTCTGATGATAATGAATTTCCAAATAGTACCAATGCAGAAAGTTCAGAGAGAAAAACTAAATACACGATAGGCAAGGACAAGAAAACTAAATGGAGTAGTATTATTGCAGCATATCAACCGTTAACATTTCTCAACTATCTGGTTCAAAGAGTGCTGCATAAGTAAATTGGAAAACTTAAGTGTATTTATAAATGAAACCATAATATGCTGTGTAACTGAATACATTAACATCGACACTATTGAATCAAATTATGTAAATAGATACTAGAAATAATCATGAAAATGCAGACTCTTGTTTTGCTACAGATCTAAGAAAACCAATATTTAGAGCAACACAGTCCAAGGAATGGTTTCTTTTTCCGTTATCAAATTTGATAACCAAGCAACAAGGGGAACAGAAAAATCAATCAGGTGACAAGTTGACAGCTCTCTCTGAAGTGTTTAACAACCAACTTCCAAGCAATTATAGCTGTTCACGGTTTGCAATATTTGAAGAAATTCTAGTAGGTTTTCGTGGATGCTGTTCTTTCAGAATGAATCTACAAAACAAATCAGCAAACTATGAATTAAAAAGTATGTGTTGTGCAAAATCCCACTACTAAATGCTTTTATTTAATCTGGAAACCAAGACTGTAAGTTCATTAAAATAGGCATCCCAACACAATCTGTTCTGAAGCTGGTTCAACCCATTACTCTAACAAATGTAACTGGAGATAAAGGTTCACATCTGTAGAACTATCTAATGAAACACAAAATATTGACCTGATCTACGATGGTACACTTAAAAAACAAGAAGTTAAATCCTGGCAGAAATCTTGCCCAATAAATCATAGGAAGTGGGATACATAAAATTTGGCTTCACATAAGATTTAAGATGTCCCCAAGAAACGTAAATCAGTAGTCATGTCATTATTAAAGTATCATGACAATCGTATTGATCAGCAGAGTGGTAAACGTGATACGATTCTTTTTTACAATGCTTCAAAATAGAGCATCGATGCCCTAGATCAGAAGTAAGTTCCTAAAATGTGGAAGAAGATATAAAAGATGGCCTTAGCCATATGGCGGGCTGTAATGGATATAGCTTTTGTGAACAGTTATGTATTATGGCAGCACACACACAAAAATGTTAAGTCAATTTATGAAAGAATTGTCAACAACTCTGATAAGCACTAAAAAACGTGCTAATGTACCAAGTCTATCAATGAGTTTGAAAACATTAATTCAGTATTTCACTTTGAAAAGCAGTTCGAAACATCAAGCTGTATGATTCTAAAAAACACCAAAGGTGTACTTTTTGCAGAAGAAAACATAACAAAAAAGGGTGTCACTTGTTCAAGATGTAATAAATGTCTGCAAAAATCACTCTGAACAGACGCCATTATGAGCAACAAAGAGTAAGTATTTACAAAACAATATAATAAAAATTGTATGTATTTAAGCATAATGTAATTATTTCTTTACTGTGCATAAAAAAATTATTTTCCTTCTGTCAGGGTAGATATGGTCCTTAACTTGGCAGATGAAGTAAAAATGAAAAATTACTAAAATGGATAATATATTGCATTAAAGTTACCTTGACATTGTGAATTGAAAAAAACGTAGAACAAAAAATAAACATGTTTTGTATGAGTTTGTGGCTTTCTTAGACTTAATATATTTACTAAAGCTGTCGTAACAAATTGAAATGAATTATAAAACCAATACCATAAAAAAATCAACCCACGTAACTACAGATACTCATTTTTTGGGTCATTATTGACCACACAACAGCGGTTGTGATTGCCAAAATATCGTTAGCCACCGAATTTTAAAATGGGTTGCATTTCTGGACGGCGCCACCTCAACAGCCCGACGCATCACAGAAGAGACGTTGGAGGGTTCCGAGTGTTTCCACTTTGCGAAATTCACGGGCGACAATCGAATGTTGCCGTACGCGAGAAAGAATGCGCAACTTAGCCGACTTCACATATATACGCCCGCCAGACTTCTGCTTGACTGCGACGGCGGATGTGAATTCGGCATGTGGCGACCGACGTGCTGCAAAGCTTTGTGCATTGAGACACGAACACCTTGCATTTTTAAGGTTACTAACGCAGTATTATAATGGCAACAGACCCGTAGTTTTTCAGATAAACACCGGAGCAGCGTTAACTTTAATTTAACATGAGTAACTGGTGCCTTGATCTTGCTGGCCAGTCACCACTATCCTGTAGGGATATGAGAGGCAATCAATCAAGATTAAAGGAAAGGTAAGTCTACAACCAAGACAAAGAGTTGGGCAGATTTTACTGATTACCGTGGGTAGATACGAACCAATCAATATATTGGGCGAGTCCCAGAAGTGCTAAGTTCACGTTCAGTTACAACTGATCAGAGCGTAATGCCAACGGAGTGGCTGCGCTGGCACGGGGCAGCACATTGCTAATGCAATGCCATAGTCTTAACAGTACATCTAGTGAATGCAATGAATTAAATCCAAAACAAACAAATGTGTTCTCAAATGCTCCTATCGGGGAAAGCAACGCTCAGGATAGTGAAATTCAAATTCTATATTTACTTCGCTCTCCGGCGAAGGCGTAATGCATTGAGACAGGTCGCAGAATGGCGACCGAAACGTCGGCACCTTCGCCATAGACGCGGCGTCACCCGGACAGCCAACTAAATACTGACTCCGGCCGCGGAAGCCTACGCTCTTAAATTCAAATTCACCAACATCATGTGCTTCATTCACCTCAACAGCAGTTTATAATGCAACAATTAGGTCAGCAACAACAACTGACTGAAGTGAATGAGCCTGGATTTGTTTGGCTGCAAATACCTCAGAAGCAAGGCAATACAACTACCACCTCAGAAGCAATAAGCGGCCTTTCAACAAATCGCTTATAAATATGACCACTGACACCCCTACGCAAAACATTTTTTTTTAACTTTTTTCCGGACAATGAAAATAAAAAAACGAAAGTTTTCGGATAACCAAAACACATTCAATTGAGAAAAATAGCAACTCAGTGCAATACAATACACCTTTCCACACGAGATAGTGGTGGCTGGAGTGGGCTAAAATCCCGCACGGTGGGCTAGAATCCCCAAAAGCTGGCCATAATATAAAGAATAATGGGAGCCGCTGATTAGACGGTAGGCACAGCCGTCAAGAGGCAGACTATTACGAGAACCCGTGTCTGGGTCAGCCGAGATTTGATACACTACACTCCAAATCAAATGATATAGCCTACAGATTTTGAGACAGACTGGGATAAAACAAGAAATGTTGCTGACATTTAGCCAAATCGCAGATGATTGAGAATTGAAGACAATAGTGACTTGAAGTCATGGTATTGCAGAGATACTCTTCATGAGATTCATGATAACATTGTAGTACAAAATGATAAAAAAAATAATAGTCTCCAAAAAGTTTAATAATTTTATTAATAATTACCTAGAGTTAACTTTCGGGAAACACTTTTCCCATCCTCAGTGGATCTCTAGCGAGGAGAAAATGGAAACATTAACATTGAACAAAAAGAAATACAGTGAATTTGGTGGGAAAAACAAATAAATAATATCAAATAAATAAAATTGAAAAAACTTATGGAAAATATTCAATTTTTCCAGACGAATGATGGACCTTCCAAAAACAAAATGAAAAAAGCTAACGATTCCGCTGAGGAATTGGTGAAGTTGGCTTACCAAGCGCCTTCAACAATCACATGACGACTGTGTGACATAGTAGCTGCAGATTCGGCAGTCAAGCTCAAAAAAATGGATCCACAACAACAGCTGTTTGCGAAAAAGGCCATCAATGATACCCTATTTGAGGGACAAATGGTGACCTTACACCGTAATTTGGTGCAAATTAATACATCACGTATGTCCACCCGGTAGTGTACAGTCAGTCCATATGAAAAAGATTCAATTTAACATTCACTTTTATAGTATGTGTATTTGTGAAAAATAAATGTTATTTAAAATAATATTTATATAAATATTAAGAAAAATCTCATGCAGAAGCCGCTCCCCCGTTTCATGAGTTAATTTCCGGCAAAAAATGTGTAGCTTATACACATCAATATTGGTCAATCCAAAGGGATCTAAAAAACAAAATCACTGAACATAAAAGAAATATAAGAGCAGTCATCCAGACAAAATTCTTTGACACAAAACAGAATAATAGAAAACCATGAAATTGACTTTAACAAAACAAATAATGAACACAGAAACCAAGTACTTCAATGGATTACTAAATGGAAATCCTAAATTTTAAATTGCACGATATATGCAATTAAATTGTATGATTTAGGCAAATCTATATGATATTCTTTCAAAAGTAAAAGGATAAATAATTATTTTTCTCATCTCAACAACCTTTCTAAATAATAGGTCAGTTATTAAATGTTTCTCCAATAAATTTAAACCCACTTTTTGACACAATTTTAAATCACTACTTACAAATTCTCAGTAGTCTTCCTCTTCCCCTTCCAAAGTAACGGTTTGTATTCCCTGTCCACCTCCCCTTGCCCCTTCTTTTCCTTCACACATAATAGACAAAAGATTCATTTTGTCACAGCATTCAGTAAGTCACACCCAAATAACAGTTGAATACTTATACAAAGATATTGATCCTAAACATGACTGATTCCACAGGCAAGCTTCATAAAATTTTTAAATGAGTACACAGGTATTGATCTTATTATGTATAGTTATAGAGTATTAATAACTATGAAACATCATAACATTTCTTTTTAAATAATGTAGTTTTTGTCCACAGTGTGGATGATGCTTCAAAAAAACAATTTTCTAGTATACTAATTAGAATGCTGACAGTTTTTTTGTTGTCAAGAAAATTTATCACATGGTTCTTAATATAAATCTTATTCATTTGTAAAGATTAAGATAATTTGAAATTTTTATTAAAAAAAAGGCAAAATCCATTGGAATTTCTTGACTTTCCAGTACCTGAAAACGACTACATAAATATGTTGTTGAATTGCTGTTGAAAGTTATGAATAAGAATGAACATATGAACACTACCTTTCATTCGGTTAAAGTTTAGTATACGGTACACCCTTAGAGAAGAGTGGCGGTAGGGCTTGTGCCCTAATCACTGCACATGCTCTAATAGAAATGAATAAAACTTACAGATAGGCGATTTTCATGGTTCGCCCTTCATATGCTTCGTCCCCGCTGAATTGTCACACCAATTTACTTTCAAAGGCAAGTTTTCTCGCTTTGCTTGCCCGGACAAGTTCTATTCATAAAATGGTCTTGGGTGTAAAAAAGTAGCTAGTTCCAAGAAATCTCAAAAGATAGTTAAGTGTACAATTCAAACTTGAAACAATATATTAAAATGTACACAGAACTTACTCTTGTACCAAATTGCTTTGGGTCTGATATTTGTTATGTAGGAGTTTAACAATAGCAATCTACTGACCATGTCTTATTACAATGTTACTATTGTAGGAGGGATCATCAAAGCAGTTTCCAGGTGCAGAAAAAATTTATAATCTTTCTCATTGGTTGTGTTGTTCATTGAATGTGTCTATTAAGCAGGAAGCCAATAAAATAATACGTGCATCATGAATCCAATCCCAGCATAACTATTAAACACAAATCAATCTGGTAAAATCTAAACCAAAACAATTTCTAGCTTCTTTACAGTCAGTGACATTAATAAGAGGAAAAACATTGCACAATACACTCACAAAGAACTAAACCTTCATTCATTTCCCATATAATATGTTCTCGGAATACTATTTTCTTCTCTGCTTTCCACTCGAACACTTGGTACAGCTCTTCACAAATTGACGAACTGAACAGAATTGATGAATAGTTAACATTAATGCTCCAGCAGGAACCAGTACAACAATATCTGCAAATAAAAACTTTCTTTCTTTGGTAAAAACTTTCAAGTAACAAATGTTTGAAACAAAAGAAAACTTACCCATCTACTTTCCACTCAAGGTTCTTCATATAATGACCATGAAGATAGCTAGTATATTCTCATTCATCCTTCTTTCAAGTCACAAGTTCCATCATTACTTCAATTCCAGTAGGATACATCATGCTGTGTTGCACAATAGAATATACTTAATTTCAAAGAAATCTTTTAGATTAAGCAATCTTTCAAACCATGCATCTAGGATGTCATTTCAAACATCAAATGTGCATCACAGAAACTTGTTTATATTATTTAATTTTATTTTGAGTTGCATTAGCATTGTTTTGTTGCAAGACAACTATAAACTTCAAAAATGCTTCTAAAAACATCTTTTTGAACTCAATTTTAATTAATTCCTTCTGTACCATTTTATTGGAACCCTTGTTACAAAGCTGTTTCCAAACCATTAAAATATGGTTATAAGTCCACCTTCACTTCACATTGCAAATTCTTCTCTTCACATGATGTACAAAACCAGCAAAGAGCCACACAAAGTCAACAAAGACAATGTTTTTTCTCTTTGATGATGCATTGGGGCATCCTCAACTTCCATAAGTAATTCCAATAGTTTCCTAAACAAAATAATTATGATATGATTTTCTCTAATAAACACAGGCATTCTCATTGATCATGCTTGCAGTTAAAAGTAAATTACATCAACGAAATAAAACAAATTTTTAATGCACTGCAGAACAATTAATAAAATATAATCAAAACAAGACAATCCACTATGGGTAGAATTATAAGAGTATAATATTAATTAAATGTAAGTTGTAAACATAACATGAAACAAACTGTCACAATCAGCTTGTGTTGTCCTATGGCAAGAAATGTTGTAATGTTGTTTACCTACAATTGATCTCTAATACATAACATTTAAAAGTCAACACAAAATCTATCAGTCGCCTTTCCTTTGAAATTATGACAGCTACTACAGGGCAAGTATTTTTAACACCCTGGCCTTTAAATAAACCTAATTTTTCAATTCACACATTTCCAAACACAGAACAATGAAGCGATAGTTAATGCATATTGATACATTACACAACCACATAATAAAATAGCCTGTTTAAAACTACAAAGATACTAAATGGTCAATACAGAAACGTTCTACGTGTAACTGTGAAAGTAAATTATACCACACAAGACAGTACATTGTGTAATATACATTACAGCATTTAGGGTAAATTTCAAAATCTGCTTCATTCAGAGCTAATAATATTCAGAAAGAAAATGCATACGTGTTTCAGTTAAACGTTGGGTGAAAAATAATAGTAAATAATACAACATGCATTGTACACATCTGAACTAATCACCCATTTTCCACAACTTGTAGTCGAAGAAGCAATCAGAGAACTCACGAGTCATCTTAGAATTTTCCTGGCCTTTTCTGACCGTCTCATAAAACTTGCCAGTGAAGAATTTTGAGTTTTTGAGTCAAAATGGCATGGGTTGTACCAATATGCAAGACTTCTTGGCAAGTAGTGTAATACTTTCCGTGGTGGGAACATGCTTTGAGTTGCACCGCGCTAACTGCACGTGCTGTCTCCTGCAAACCGACTCCATCCAAATGAATCATGGTCACGTAAATAGTAAGTCGTTCTTTAACGAATCGAATACAATTTTTTTCGAAATTATATTCCATTAAACTGACCCAGTTACTTAGATTGCACTCCAATTACTTAGGTTGCTTAGTACCAAATACTATAGTAAGTTTTAATACCATGAGGTATTAGTACTCTAGTGAATCAGAAACGACACTGATCTGACCCGACACAAAACCATTTGATAACCAAACTGTAAGCACAGGTTTCTAGTTTTCGAAATGTTAATAAAGTAGAAATAAAAGCAGTTACTGATGTCCTTAAAACCATTCAGATTCTTATATCATAAAATATTTTTCGCACGCGCATACATTAGTGTTAGTATTTTTATATGTGTCAATAACCAAACAAGAAGCCATTCAGTTCAAAATATAATGCACTCTAATGTTCATTGACAAATCTCGAAAAATGAAATTTTGACTGGTAAGTTTTTGAATGTTACAGTCGTTTTACTTTTACGTTTTTTTAAGTACAGTCGAAGACTTTCTTTTACTTCCTAAGTACTTGTTAACGAAAGAGTTGTACTATCATACCTACAGGGACCCGACAAAAACGAATATTTCTGTGGTGCTACGAAATGGCCCAACATCCTATAGTAAGGATAGTAAACAAAAATTTACCAGTTATGGTAATAATGGTTATCAGACTGACTGATTGTAATCGTAAAGCTTGGCCTTTACGTGCTGTCACTCTTACGAAATCATCAGAAAACAGGGCAATATATGAACTAAAAGAACTGTTCTAATCACAAAATGCTATAATCACGGTTGAAGAGCGTCGTTATAGACCCGGGCCAGTGCTGTGTCGAGGTTGTTAGATATTCGAACACACAGAAAAGAACTGTGGCAATCCTCCTCGTTGCGGCAAATGTGTAGGGGTGCATGCCATAACCGAATGTTCTAGTACTGATACTAAATGCTCACTATGTGGAAAGGCTCATCGGTCCTCTACACGCGACTGTGAAATTTATCAAAAAATTCTCCATAGGAATTCAGTACCATCTCGCTACCCCACCCGACAACAACTCGCACAACAAGCCCCATCATCCATTAACCACTCCAAGGGCTCCTTCTGTAGCCTATCCTCATCATTTCCCTTCCATCCCTATCACAATGCCACAAGAACCATGTTCCCCCTGTCGTAGAATTGCATAGCCATCATCAAACCAAATGCCGCTAAATTCAGATTTTTCAAACAGCCCATACAGCCGCCCAGTGGGCAGCCTTTCCAGTTGGAACATTTTATCTCCCAACAGGTGGAACATTTCTTCTCCAGACACCTAAGTCAAATTATTTCTTCTCTTACAAACTCCATCGTTCAGTCAATAAAATTATATTATCCATCAAACATGCCTATAAGTAGTGCCACTCATTTCTCATTCTGTCTCATTTCTTGGATTGCAAACGGTGTAAAACCTAATATTCACATGCTAGCCACTTTTTGCATAATAACAAAATACTAGTAGCTTGCATTCAGGAAACCTACCTTTACCTTAAAATTCATATTCGCGGCTATATTCCTTATCACTATGACCGACCGCGAACCAGTGCAGCGGTGGGGTCGCCATATTTGTAAAAAAATCCGTAACTCATCACCTTTAAATATAAATAATACTCATTTTTGGATAAATTATACGTCTTATTTCCAGATCTGTCTTTAAGAAACAGAGTCCATTAAGGGAAAAATCTGTATCTTGAACAGTAGCAGGATGGCGCCACCAAAAATCCGTACTTTTGCAATTTTCGAAATTTTTTTAATTTCATAGAATCTAAGCGTCCTTTACGCATCCCGAGAACAAAATTTAATTAAAAATTTGGAGCTATTTTTGAAAAAAAAATTAAAAATCTTTTTAAAAGTTCATGTACCCTCAAAAATCAAAATATGTTTGAAACTCCCAAAGCCTCGAGTTCGATCAGATCTATCAAGAAATATCAATATTGGAGAAAATCGGCTGAACGGTTAAGGCGCCAGACAGAGTTTGGCCTTCAATCGAATTTTTTTGAATCAAGGGCCCACAAAACAAGGATTCTTGCTAACTACGTGTTAGAGGAAGTAATGTATAATATACAGCAACAGGATTTATCATCTTTTTCCTTATCAGGGCCCGGCAATAAGAGTTTTTCTGCCGAAAATTCGTCGTTTTCCGGCACACGATTACATAACTTTCTCTTCTTACAAAGTAAATGAGATAATCTAAACATTGGTGCAATTTCTAACCGATTCCCTCTAGGTTATTCCGGAAGAATTCTAGAATACACGTGTTTTACATGGTTTCAATGTATCCACGAGTACATTGGTGAACATTGAATTACTATACTGTCTCCGGTATTTAAATGAAAGGTTACAACTTAACTCATCGGTCTGACATTAACCATTTAACTTTTTAATGAAACAAAAAACTCAACAAGTGTTTTAATCGATATTTTCATGTAACTTTCAATGCCCGAAAATAAAACATACAGGTATCTCTAGAATGTTTAAAATTTATTTTTAATATGAACTTGTAAAGAGAAAATAAAACTTTTTTTTTAAAATGACAGTATTCTCCTAAGCTTTAAAAGTGTTTTCTAGATTTCCATCTGAAAAATATTTAATACAATTTACTGACCCCTTATCAATCTTTCAGAATTGGTATAACCAATGAAAGGAATAAAAAACAAATTTACTCGAAAATGAACTAAAAAGCACGAGGAATCTGTTGGGCCTTTCCCTTATTTCTATTTATCTAAAAAAATCTTTTTTAGAATTTTTTTAGAATTGTAGAAAAAATATATTTATCTACAAAAAGTATCTTTATTAATGCAAGTATTGATTGAAATGTATTTTCGTTATTTACTTTTGTATATTTGTGATTTGAATTGCTATTTATATAAAACAATTCCTGTAAAGCAGTTATGCTGGCCTGAGGAAATAAATAAACAAAAATGAGCTTTCCTTTTTGCATAGTTAACTAGGAAAGAAACGAAACTCCCCTCATTCGCGGTTTGGCGGCTGATATTCCCTTATTCATCCTTATCAGTTCCTCTTTCCCCTACCACTCTAATGAGCTCCAACCGCTGGATTCATATCTGCTCTGCCTGTTGATACATTTGGAGCTGAGTATCTTCACACAGTCTTCTCTGAGGAATTCGCGCAGCTCTTTGGTCAAACTGATACGTTTGGTTTCAGCAATGAAAGCAAGGTAAGCTGTACAATTCATCTGACCGCAGTTGTATATTTTTACCTCTCGCGCTTAAGAAGAGAAAGTTATGTAATAGTGCACGAAAAAAAACGACGAAGTTTTTTGAAACGTTTTGGTCACATATATGTAATATTTTAATAATAATATTTATCGAAGGAAAAGAGGGAAATAAAAAATAAAGGTCTTGTGTAATGCTATTATCATTTACTCGCTTTCATTCATAAACAATGGACGTACAACGACCTGCATCGAATATACATTATGAAATTAATAGTTTAAAGTATATTCTGTCTTAATGCACTCTGTCACCTTCACGTTATAATTTAAATTCTATACGGACAATGTTCAAAATGCAGCTTAACAATGTTACCACGTACAAAATCATTGAAAAAGATAACAAACGTCTTTTAAAATATCGATGTTTCTGGGAAAAATATTCGATCTAAAAAAATCGAAAGCATTCTAGTGGAGCCAGATCGACTGGGAATATCCATTTTGGAAAAAAATTCTACGTATGGTTTAGACGCTACTATTGTTCACAGACGGAAAGACAGACTTTGCGAACCAAAAACCCTTGTACGGTAACAGGGAACCCAAAACGTGTATTTCCGCTGAAATCACGAAAACGATTTTCCGCAGCATTACGTAATTTTCTCTATACTACGTATATTACTCCGTATATACGTACCTAAACGAGAAAATAAAAAAAAATCGTGTGCTGTGACGGTATCCGCTGCTTCTCGCCATTGCGAATGCAGTCAGAACAACACTTGAGGAGTCAGCTTCATACAGGTCGTTCTGGTCCCGCCATACGTAAAGAAGCAGCGATCAAGGTCGTCGAGTACCGGTCAAAAATGAATTGCTATTCCAGTCACTATTGGGTGGTTAAAGTAAGATAAGCTTTTTAAATCATCATGTACTATAAGAATCATAGCCTTGAAATATTAACCACATGCATTAAAAATTCAAAATAAACTGCAATCTTTGTCATATATCATTAATAATTTTGTTACTAATAAGAACGAATGTTTACTTTTTTAAATAATTGGGGCCGCTCCTGCGGGGGTCCTAAATGTGTTTTTTTAATCTCATTAATTATTCCCTGTAATGGTTCACGAGCGTTTGTAGGGTGCAGTTTCAAGAGAAACATATTACACTCTTCTTGCGCTTTGGGCGCCTAGTTTAATTCTATTCCGGCCTCTGCCCACAGCGCAGCGCTGGTGCTGGTGAAGGTGTTGCTGGTTCTTGCAGACGTGCCGCGCCCGCCCCCGCCGTTGGGCCAATTAGGCCGTCCTTCGTCCCTGGACTGCCCCCAGCCCGTCTGCCCACAGCCCATCTGCCCAGAACCCGTCTGCCCGCAGCCCGTGTGCCCACCTCCCGCCACCGCGAAAGAAATCCCGCTCTGCCCCAACCTCTCCTGCCCAGAGCCAGTGTGCCCGAAGCCCGTGTGCCCCAAAGTGCCGCCCGCGCCGCCGTGTCCCGATCTTTCCTGCCCCGAACCCGTGTGCCCCACCCCCCTATGCCCCAGGCCGACGTGCCCTCCTGCCCGGTGCACACCGCCGCCCAGCCCACCGTGTCCTTCTTGCCCAGACTGCCACCCGGCCAACGTCAGCTGCCCGAAGCCCGTGTGCCCAAAGGTGCCTCCCGCGCCGCCCTGCCCCGACCTCTCCTGCCCCGAACCCGTGTGCCCTACCCCCATATGCCCTAAGCCGATGTGCCCTCCAGCAAGGTGCTCTCCACAGTCCGGTGCTCCGTGCCCGTCGTGCCCAGACTGCCGTCCGGCCAACTTGAGCTGCCCGCAACCCGTGTGCCCAAAGCTGCCCCCTATGCCGCCCTGCCCTACCCCCTCATGCCCCTCCTGCCCGGACTGCCATCCGGCCAACGTCAGTTGCCCGCAACCCTCATGTCCGAAGCTACCCCCTGCGCCGCCCTGCCCGAACCTCTCCTGCCCCGAACCCGTGTGCCCCACCCCCATATGCCCCAAGCCGGCGTGCCCTCCTGCCCAGTGCTCGTCCTCGCCCAGCCCCTCGTGCCCGGGCTGCCACCCGGCCAACGTGAGCTGCCCGCAGCCCGTATGCCCGCAGCCGGTGTGCCCTCAGCCTAGCTGCCCCTCCTCGCAGGTGTGCCCCGCTAAGGCCGCGTCTTGCAGCGGCTGCCTGTGGAAGGTGCTGGCCACTTACGACCACTTCCAGGGCATCGGCTACTACAAGGCCTACAAGACGCCGGTGAACTGGCACCAGGCGAAGGACCTCTGTGCCGGAGATGGAGCTCACTTAGGCATCATCAACAGCGAGGTGGGCTACGCTCCTCCGGTTCTAACGTATTTGGCATATTACTAGCTGAAGTAACAGGCGTTCCCCACGTATTTATACACCACAATAAATGTTCAGGAATATATTTGAATAGTTTCTGTAGTAACTGCATGTAATTTTATTGCATCCGGTAGGCCCTGCTTGTCTCTCCCGCCCTACCTCGTATGGCCCTGCCCTTCCTAGACCCCCCAAATGTCAACCTTTGCTAGATACCACGCGAGTTTCATTTTCCAGCATTTTTTCATCCTATTTAAAAATTGAACTTCTATCACCGCATTCGAAATAAACAACGTATATCCCCCGAATATATGCTAATATGTATTCGAGAAAGTAAAATAATTTCATAATATTTTATCAAATTCCTATTTGTTTGTTCTTTCAAAACCTCTTGACTTTAAGGATCTCGTTTCAGTTTGTAGCTCATGAATATAAGAGTAATTTTTAAAGTGCAGGAGTAGAATGTGAGCGCGAGTAAATTCATATGAAACATTTAAATACAGTTTATTTCGTATTATGTGTTCTTCGTTAGATTCCAATTATGTAATAAAAACAAGTTTATTAAACATTGGCAATTAAAGACAGCACCAATTATTACAGATAATGCTAACAGCGCTACAAGGGGAAGACGCAATTATGAACAAATGTGTACTTAACTAATTTCCTTCTTATATCGCCCCAAACTATCAAATCACCCCACGTTTCTTTACTTCAATATTTTAATTTTATTTAGTTAATATGTCAATTTAACCTAAAGGTATAAGTAAATACCCCCAGAAATAAATAATGCAGTTCTTTAATACATGCAAATATCACAAATAGTGATAAACATTTTATTTTACAGAAAGAAGCTCAAATATTTAAGCTACTGTACCACAAGGACGGCTTGAGCGGTTGGGTATTCGTTGGCTACCACGACTTGAACCAAGAAGGAAATCATGAAACTATCTTTGGTGAGAACATTTTCAAGATATTAAACGTAGCAAATTCTCGGCTAGTGACAATTCCTCACTGCCCTGAGGAAGTCTGCGACATGTCAGGCGAAAGGTCGGCCTCCCAGCCAACGACGCGGCGTCTCCCGGATGGCAGAGAATTTATGGATTCGAGCCGCGGAAACTTACGTGTACAAACGTAGCAAAGACCAAAAAAGAAACAGTGTTCAATCGCGACCATCTACAAAGATATTTATTTTTAATCTTAAACAATATTAACAAAATCACCTCGATTTAGCAATGAGGAATGGGTGGAGAGGGTTAAAGACCCCCTTTTTAAGATTTGTTTAACAAAGATCCCGGAAACTGTGGGGGTTATATCAAAAGCAATTCTACACTGAAAATTGAAGAGAATCTTTTCTATTAAACATGTCCGTCAACAATTTTCTAGTCGATAGTTGAGGAGATAAGGAAAGGCACAATGTTTCCAAAGTTATACACATTGCTACTTTTAATACGAAGTAAAAGAGCGTCTTGATTAAATTGTTGATTTGCTTTACGTACCTATCCTCTTTTGCCATTTCTCAGGAGCTCTACATTTTGAGATGACGTGCAAGACAAAACTAATTTGGATTTTTAGGAGAACAACTAAAAGGCAGGAGTACAGACAGGTGGTCAAATTAAAATTAATAAACATTTAATACGTTTACTTTGAAAATAAATAGGACAATTACAAGTGTATCTTATAAATACAACACGTGCTTCTCATATCTAATTCAAATGATGTTACAATAATTTGTAACAATTTAATGACCTTGTTTCTGCATTGTTTTGAATTGACACATGAATTGTGTAAGAACAATGCAATATGATCACAGTACCTTTGAGTTGCGAATTAACATGCGTAACCAATATTTTTCACTTGTTTAATGTGGGGCTGAGATGTCTTGAATCATTTTAAATCAGATTATCACACCACAGCACCGCGAAAGTAATGTGTTCAAGACGCTAGACGGACATGACGTAAAGCAACTTAAGAGAATAATCACTGCATACAGAGTCAAATGCAGGCGAAAGGCAGACATGAAATTGTACTGCTGTTAGATCATTTGGAACAGACGTGGACACATACCTACAACAAATGTGTAGCGGAAAAATGAAACACACCTTAAACTGCGTAACCTTGAGACCATTGTTTTCAGAAACGTTGTCATACTTTGTATTACTTTCCAATTTGTGATATAGTTGAAATTGATTTCTTGTTAATACGAGTAATGATGGCAGTTGTAGGTGGATTTATGCCGACCTTCGAATACCTCGTTATCAATGAAGCGCAACACGTCTTAGTACTTTTGATAGCTCGAAAAAATTTAAATCACGTGTAGATGATTTTATTTTTGCTTCATTAAGAACTGTACTGTCCCCGAAGCATGGTTGAAGGTAATAATATTTGCTACTAGAATGGTAGTGGATGAGACTTCTGCATGAGAAGGGCAGGCCCGTGCCACCATAGTTGGTAGTCCTTTAATTGAACAAATTGGGTTCCTCTAGAAATGAGGTCAGCTGGATTATGAGTAGATGGGATGTGATGCCACTTACAAGTAGACTTCTAGAATATCTTTGTAGAAGCTTCATGAATACTTGACGTCCTGACTGTTATAAACGGCATTCGTTTGTGATGAGTCTTCATCCTGGTACGAACTGTAGTGGAATCTGAATTCAGATGGATCTGGTTGATGACTATTAATTGTTTAGTGATTCTGGGCACGTCAACTACGAGGGTCATTAGTCCCGTAAGTGTAATGCATGATTTTTTCTCGGGAGGTGGCAGTAATCTTTTCCCCACTGTATGGCGAGATCCGGCGGCAACCTACAGTCGGCTAGCATTGTTTTCCCCTACTAGGTATCTCCCACCAGCGGGGCACCGCCCCAGCCGGAACCTCCTCTTAGCTCCTCTCGGGTCTCTCAGCATGAATGATAGTGTAGTGCGTGTAAGGGGTGATGATAGGAATGAAAAAGGAAGGTGACTTCGCGCGCAGTTCGTGGCCCGTTTGTTAGGGTATTCTCCAGCATTAGCCTGGTGTTTATCGGAGAAACCACGGAAAACTACCGATCATAGCAGCCGGCTGCTAGAATTCTCCTCCAGACAGCGACTGAATTCCATCTAGCCAATAAGCTTGTGTCGATAACCTCCGTCGGGACATCAGTTGATAGCCTTGATGGCTATTGACAACTTTGGCTCAACCTATTTGACCACGCATCTTAAAACCGTGCTGCACATAATTTGCAACTGTGAAATTGTTCCTGTTACAGACGTCACTCTTGATTATACGACAAACAGATTTGATTGAATGTCTCCTCCCTCAGTGATTGTCCGTGCGTACGAAAAGCTCCGAACGCTGATAGAACAGAAATTCAAATCCATGTATTTGCGCCAGTCTATCTTAACTCTTACGTACACTTCTTGGATATGTAAATTAGTTCATTTTCTGCAGGGCATTGAAAAGATATTCCCATTATAGGTAGCAGTTAACCTGCCATTTTTGGCAATATTTTTACTTAGATTACTGATGCTCTAAGACCAATTGGATCATAAAAATTTCGAATACAAGAAAGTACTATTCGTTTTGTGAATTGCTGCGAACTTGCCAATTGATTGTTATTGTAACAAAATGAAATTTTGTCATTGGCGACGTGTTCCACGCCAATCCTAACGTACTTACCTCTTCCGAGAGAATTGTTGATATTTTTATTTATTTTGGTTTGGAACGATACCAAATAATTGTTGAGGATTTAAGAGTCATTTGTGCAAACGAAAAACACCCTTTTTCAAAACTTCAATTAATTAGTCAGGCACACAAAACAAAAAATAATATCAGACCCAAAGACATGTTCTCCTTGTACGTCGCTGTATAAGAATCTGAAGCCAGAATTGTACCATTACCCTCCAGTTCTTCGTAAATCGCGAAAAACATGCGAATACTATTTTTGGTTCTTGTAGCATTATTCTCTACAGAAGCTAAAAGTAGTCAGACTCAAGACTTGACACCTGTTTCTCTAAATTTGTCTGCGCGCTGAATCGGAATCCAGAATTGCGCCAACACCCTCCATTGTTTTATCGCGAAAAATCACAGTGAAATGGAGAGTGATGGTGGCTTCGGTGGATTTGGGTTTGACAACTTTTTTTTTTTGTGCCTGCGTTATTGATTTTGCTCGATTGCTTTCTCATTGCCTTCTGTTAGTATGCTGTCCACGTAGAAGCAAGTTTTGATCTTTTCGTGAATTGTTGGACAGCCAGGTGATTTGTCATCAACTAATTGAGTACCCTCGTTGTTTGATACGGCGTACTCTACCATACGTCAATAGTTGAAATTGTTGGATTGAAGCTTGAGAGTGAGATTTTCAAAATATTTTTAGAAGGTATCGATCAGATTGATTTATTTGAATTTGTCGACACATCACCTACGAAATACCCAAACGTCCACATTCAGCAGTTCAGCAGAATGTTCAAAACTGGTTGTACCCCTGTTCTACTGTTATCATTGAGGCTAACTTTGATGTCTTTGCTGAGGCATCGAACATAGAAACTTTTGCTACTAGATAGTTCTTTTGTGACACCATTACGAGGGAAGAAGAAATTCTGTAAATTTTTGTTGATTGGGGAAGATGTCTGAATATGCCCAAGCTCTTGATATTCAGTCATGAAATTTCTACATGATATTGCGAACTGGGGATTGCAATCAAATTTTCTCTCTAATGCTTCGTATTGCTGCAAAGCTTGTTTCCGCGAATTCTGGAGCAGCTGGAGTTTTTGGAAGTGAAACGGCGTACCTACCCGTTTCGTTATTTCTTGTGATGGCGTTCAAATGTTCATCGCAGAATGCTTCTGGAATGTTCATGACCTCAGATGACAGTTCTTCTAATGTCCCATTAGTTCATTTACTTGTTAATGAAACTTAAAGAAATTAAAAAATCAGTGCTTCCTTTTATTTGTCTTTGGTTATCTTTCCATGAATGTCCAACTGAGCACTCGTTGATAAATGCGGGTAATTTTGGATTCGTCCACTTCCCGGAAATGAAAACCTGTCCAGCAATGTCTGTTCCTAAAACATATCTGCTTTATTTCGTTTGCGAAACATTGGATTCGAAATCTTGTTCTAGGTGTAAATAAAACGTGAAATGGTGGGTTACCTTTAGGCCCTACCAGTTGGAGCAGACAAGAATCAATACTAGTTCTAGCAACATTGGCCAAATTGTAATTAATCCTCTTCATATGATTTTATCTATGAACACAAGAAACAATGAAACCTGAATGTTTAACTAGACGTTGTCAAAGTTCCTGAACATGTAGCACAGTGAGACCATCTGATTAGGTCCACACGTGCAATCTTGAGGTTCATAAAGTTTCATCAATGTCCTCGAAATTACACGAAAATGTTCTCAAAAACCAATTGACTTTTTTTTCTCTTCCCAGGTGAACCTTTGGCAAAAACCGGATACACGAAGTGGCATCCTGGCCAACCAGACAACTTTTTTGATGAGGATTGTGGGACTATAACTTCAGAAGCATTGCTGAATGATGGCAAATGTGACTGGAAAACTGGATTTATATGTGAAGCATCTGAAGAAAAGGCCATTGGGAACTAGAAAGTTATTGTATGAAGTTCTTACATAAATGTAAAATATTTTCAGATGGGATTAATCGCAGTGTTTTCAACGAATATCTTGTAATACTTCCTAATTAATATCAATAAAGAAATAATTAAACCACAAAATCACTTAATATTACACTGATCCAGCTTTCCGGAAAACTCTTTCCCAACTTGAGTGGGATGTACAATATCCAAGTAACGTGGACTACACTTGGAACCAAATAATCTGCCTTAAAAACAATAGTAGCTATGTGGCCACCATCGTAAGAAAAACACATTTTCCGGGTAGTCTAACGAACCGTTTATACTTCAACGACAAATCAGCAACAAAGCTTTACCTCGTTTACAGGCCTTACAAAATTAAGTGTTCCAAGCTCGTAAGTCAGACGATTAGATTATCGCAGAAAACCATCTTTCTCACAAAAAAAGTTTCGAAACTAATGGTTTTACAAAATGGCACAGGCTTTCTAGTGTTAATTTATTTGTCTTCAGTCTGTGCTACATTTTCGGTTTTGCCCCAAACAGAAGTTCGGAATATCTATTTTGAAATAATCCTGTGAAGAGTTTAGGCACTAGTGTTATTCACAGACAGATGGACGGGTATTTTGAAAACTAATATATTTTCGAATTCAGGAGACCCCAAAACTTTCGGTTTCGTTGAAATCTCAAAATATATTTAAAACACTATATATTTTGGTTCACAAAGAAATTTGAACATTATACTCAACCAAAATCGTGAATTTTTCTTTCAGTGAAAGATAGAGGGCTCTGTTACATGTTATTAACACGTTTAAAAGTAAAAACTTCTTAACATGTTATTAACATGTAGTTAAAGAGCTACCAAGGACATTGGTTCTAAGCTCATAGGTTCGTAGGTTCTTTGAGGGTTACGTGTTTGTGGAGGGATGGTGATGTACATTTTCATTGGAAACAACACGAGGGAACTTTTCAATGGAAATTGTTCCAACGACAGCTGTTTTTTATTGTGGGAAGCCATGTCAGATCCCATAAGAGCCTATAGATAAAAGCTAGGAAAAGGAAGCGGCAAAACTGACAATGCAGACTTGACAAAAAAAAGTAGCTAGTACGAGGAAGTATGTGCCATTCTGTAACGTTCGTAATTTTTAAGCATCTGCCTGCCTCCTCGTTTGCAAACAACACTTAGGCCTAAACTATTCGGAGGATGTTTTTTCAAAACGAATATTTCCCGGTGGATCTGGCTTAATTCAAGGCCCTTTAGTATGTGAGGTATTAGAATAAGCGTTTCAAACGTTTTAACATTTACTCAAAAATATTTCCAGTTTAAAAAAAAAACACTATGTACGAATAGAGCTAAATGCACTAAATAACATGACATTTTGAATGATCAAAAATTACACAAAAGTTTTTTACTTTCTCGTCTTGCTACGTAGCACTCACGTAGTAGAGGAGGAATTGCAATTCTGTAGCGATAATCTGAGTTTTTCGAGGGAAAAACACGTTCTTTCGGTCCATGATAACGAAAAAAGGATCAATCTTGTCCCCTATATATGTAGTATATTATTTGTTCTAACACATTGTAAGTCAGTATCTACGTTTTGTGGGTACATGGTACCGAGATATCTAATAACAGCAAAACTCTCTTAGTCTCCTGTGTCAACGTTAGCACCTAAACCGCTCAGATGATTTCCTCCATAATTAAAATTCCATCGTCTATCTGGCGGTCCAGTGAATTTGCAACGAATATTTTGATTTTTAGAGATATTTTACAATAAGCTTTAACGAAAAAAATTCTCAAAAATGGCTCTACGTTTTTAATAATATTTTCCCTGTTAGAGCAAAAGACGTTTAAATATAACACAGGTCCCATTTTAGATGTACTCTCTAAATATTTCTCGCCGGCAGTATACACCTACAAATATAATAAAATAATTTGAAAATATACTTTTTTCTTAATGAAATATGTTCTTCAAACACAAATCTAGTATGGTACCCTACTGTTAAGAAAGGGAAGAACTAACAATTTTCAAAACCTTTGTCGAGAAAGGCAAACACAATGGAATAGGAACATTATTTTCAACGAAAACAAACGGCGCATTTACTTACAGAAAAAGCATTTCATTGGATAGGCCAGAAACGAAAACTGCTATTTTACTTCCCCAGTTTGTGCCTAGATATTTCAAAGAACAATAATAAAAACAAACGTTTAAGGTAACACATTGAAAATCAATTTAAACTCTTGCTTTTAGACACATCAAACCTCCTGCTTTAGACCCATTCTTAGCTATTCATTTAACTAATCACTTAGCAGTCAAGGCTTAGAAATAATTACCAAAAATGTAGTTAAAAAAATACAAATCTCGCTCTGTGGCATCTCGCCGTAGAGCGCCAGGTCACGTCACTCCCCTGCACGTACATTGCATGGAGATTTACACCATGGGGTCAGTCAAGTGCCTCCTCGCCTCGTCATACCTCACCAAAGCTAGCTGGCCTGGTGTCCCTCGAGCTGGCCGAAACGCCTCTCTCTGGGCCACGCATCCCAAGGAGCGGGGAGGGGAGCGGGAGGGAAAGCGGGGCGTCGGTGGTGGCGCAAATCAGCCTTACTCGCCGTGTGGACAGGAGAGAAGGCGCCAGCGACCGGCTGCAATCTTCCCCTGGCGATATACGTAAAAAGCACCCCCTGGACATCCTGCAACTCCCTCCTCCCATAACATAAACCAGAGGGCGAAAAACAAGACCATACGACAAAAACTGACTCGCTATGAACTCAAGACGAACCCGACAAAAATATTATTTTCCTCTTTTATATCCCATCCCACTTACCCTCCCGTCGCTTCACTACCCAGTCTCCCAATCATCTTTCCTGAAGAGGGAGAGGGGTCGCAACACAGAAGACGACCGTAATAAATAAAGCACACCCTGGTTTCTGTTCTATTCACCTAGCGAGGCAGCGACAAACTGATGTCTTTGACGCAGTCAGCGGGAATATCAAAAATTTATTGTTTTTGAAGTGGGAAGTGGGAAATTTATATTCTGCCCCCCCCCCCCCATAATCCATTGCAAACACCATGAAGCGCCGAAACTGGGCGGGGAATTAACAGCTCACACCAAGGGGCGCACAGCTGGGCGGGAAATTAATAGTCTACAGTCGGCGCCGGAACGAATGTGTTAACACATCAACTGTTCAAAAATTATGAATACATTTCGCGTAATTTTTCATGAATTTGTTATAAGAAATTTCTTTATTCCTTTCATTTAAACAAAAAGCAAACTCTGGTTTTAGATTACGAAGATAATTGTGACTAGGATCATTCACCCACATTATTTGGATAGATTTACTCGACCACACCATTTGGTTGTAACCTACATTTTTGCAAACTCTGTGTCTTGCATATTCTTTCGTATTCAGGCGCGATCTTGCATATTCGGGCGTCACTTCGCCTTCTTGTACTCCCTGCACGGTTCGGAGCAGCTGGGATTGCAAGAGGTCAAAGCGGATCTCCACGGGATGCTCCACGCACGAGACAATTGCAGCGCGCTTGATTGAATAATTAGTGATTTCAGGCGCGCCAACTGCTAAGGTCATTAGTCCTGTAAGTATATTGGATGTTTTATTACAGGACGTGGCAGTGTTATTCCTCTGCAGAAGGCAAAAACCGCCGCCGATCTAGCCGTCGGCTTGCAGGGCTTTCTCCAAACTGGTATGTCCCTCCAGCAGGACAAGCAATACGTCCTCTACTGGTGTACGGAATATTGATGGTAGTGTTGTGCCTGTGACTGCGTAAGTAAAAGGTGAGAATAGGAGAAATACGGAAAGATCCCATGCAGTCCGTAGCCAATTTGTTAGGGAACTGCTCTGGCATTCGCCTGGTTTGATCGCAGCAACACGGAAATCTACCGATCAGAGCCAGCAACCCAACCTATCCAGCCAATGTCAAAAATTCTGCCACCGCCGGGACTCGAACCTAGCACCTCCCGGTCAGTACGAGGATGAGGACTAGCAAACCAGTCTCGCAGGTTTAGGGCCTTATCTAACGTATAAAACCGGTTCCGGTGGCCTTTTGTGGTCTTCTGGGAGGTCCGTTGAATCAGTAGAAGCGGATACACATTATGACCGTAAAGGCGTTCTCTTATCTGTAAACGACACGCATCTCATATCAACCGCACTTCCAGGCCACACTTTCGAGTCGACAATGAAAGAAAGGCACGCTAACCTCTTTATTTGTATTTGCACTTGCTCAAGTAAAGAATAAGCAATGAATATATTATACGGAGTTACTTTGACTATTCCACTAAATTAAGACCAATAGTGTTTAACTATAGTTATTAACTTTGTTTAACTATAGTTATTAACTTTGTTTAACTTATAGTTATCAACTTTGTGGTCAGGCGGAAGAGCGGGCCTGATGGCCCGAGCCTCGCCATATTAATAAAGGCATATTATTATAACTATACACAAAATGCCCCAATTAGGGCAGTGCAAAGTTTATCGTTTTTTCTATCCAGTTTTCCTTACCGCTTCTACCTACTGGCCAATCACAAACTGTAACTCAACTATCTTAGGTGGCGGCATACATCGATCGTTATGTCTCAAGTGCACATTTAGTATGAAGGGCAATTGCATAAACTCTTAATCATTTTTTCCAACTTGAGAAAAGATACGCCAATTCAATAACAAAGTCCAAAGAATTGCAACCATATTTTGTGCTACTTAACATTTACATCTGCTGAATGTTAAATGTTGCTGTCCAATGTGGGCGCTGAAATGTACTTACCTGTTTACAACTCTTACTTCTGGAATTCAATAACCCAAGATCAATCGTTACAGTATGTGCATATATATATATATATATATATATATATATATATATATATATATATATATATATAACATTACAGCTGTTGAATATAAAATTGATTTACCTAGATATTATATTACATTCTTTCGGCATGACATTCATTGTTAATTAAGTTGATGCTAGGACTATGAGTTTTAAAATGTTCGAAGAAGAGGCACTGCAGCTCGCATGATTAGCAAATTGCGATCGTACTCCTTGTCCAATCTATAAATTAATAATAAAAAATCAACATGAACTTCAATTTTACTGTAAAGGTTTTTTACAATAATACACATTCATCAATAA